TTATTACTCTTTTCAGGCTTTGAGTCGAATGGTTATAAAGATGAGGAATACTCCCCTGAGCATACGGACAAAGCTCACTATGGCCACAACCCGACTTATGCGGAACAGTATGAGGGCATGGAGGGCTCGTCCGATTATAGAGAAGAGTATAAACAGCAATATCCAGGGTGAGAATCAAAACGAATAAGTTGGTTTAATCACTCAGGTTTTTTGACAAGAAATTTTTCAGCGACTATTGGAATGAGCAAGAACCGCTTTCGTACAACAGTCGGCCTAAGCAGTCTTCACCGTGAGTTCTTTTGATATTATCCAGACTGAAATTTTTTATTTGAATAGCTCTTAATAGTGTAAATTTGTATAATAGAATGCTCAAAGTCAAACTATTCTCCAATAATTGTAAAATAACATTCTAAAGGACTCGTACTCGATAATTCTAATATCATTTGGATGTTGTTGTTGGTGTTGTTGTTGTTGTTTGTGAAGATTTGTAAGTAGGATGCAGGTGCGCAACATGAAGCTGATAAGATGCTTTTAGTCGATCTTTAGGGTTTTATTTCAAAAAATTCCTAGAAGGCGGCTGGATACGTATTTTTGACAAGTTCCATGTGGGCTATAGACAGTTATCATAGGTTTATTTACTTATTGTTTGTAGGATTAATAAACAGCACAAAAGTAAATCACATCGACATAGGCGGTAATCGATTTTCAACTCTTCTTGATTTATATTTTTGTTTTTGATTAATTTGAATTCCTTTCGGTTTTCTTACAAATTAGTCAAAGTGTGGGCCAGGAGGCGCCGTCCAGGTCACTGCCTCGGCATCAATCATTACGACGTGTTCCTCTAGTTGTGTCAAGAATCCTCAGCTCTGGCCGTTAGCCAAGTTTCAACTCCGACCACTGATGAGTAGGTGATGCGAGGTTTCTAAAACAAAACCTCCTTCAAAGGTAATGATTTCGATGGCCTCTACTGACTCACACACTGTGTTCCATAATTTCGGGTTTGAGTTTGTTCATACTTTTTTTTGGTGGTCTGGGTACTAATGAATCTGTCCTTGGTTAAGTAAAGACTCAGTATTTTAAGTTATTTATAATTTGTTCCCATTCAGACCTCATAGGCCTTGGGAAGATATCGAGGAAACGGCCGAGTCGACAACGGAGAAGTAAGGATGTCTACCATTTTGCCTGGCTATGATATTCGATTATTGATTTTCTGGCTATGATATTCAATTTTTAATTCTTCAGGGAGGATCGTGGCTCCTACGATGATGACGGCCGACATTCGAAATGTAAGTTTTTGGTAGCTGTCCTCTTGATAGTAAGAAGAAATTGGAAAAAAGAATACATTTGATCTCACTTGTATAACCTGCTGTCCCATTGATCGTGGCCGCCAATAAGGCCCCGTTCATCCACATTGCGAGCCATAGTGTTCCAGTGGGTCGTTCTCGCTCGAGGACAAGTTTGATCTACAGGTGGCAGTTCAACTTCTTCCCCTTATGGGCTTGATCCGTGTTGATGTTTTTCCGAAATTCTTACCTGACCACCGTATCGCTGCATCACTAACTTTACGTAAGCGTAACGCACTACTAAAATGGTCAGAGTTGTAAAACATCAAGTTGTGTGACTCAGGAATTCCGATTGTTTTCCATTCTAGACGATTTCTGTTTTCTTCACTGTTTTGGTTATTCATTTATTATTTATTTAGCGAGCTATCGGACGTCGTCAATCGAGAAGAATGATCGACGATACGATAGCGACTCCAGTCATCGTGGAGGAGGCTATTATCCGGATGAGTACGAGGAGCGGTATGATTTTTTCCAATCACCGAACTTTTTTCTCCTTACCCCTGAAATTACTAGCACTTTCCTTTAGACGGACCGATTCTCGAATTTATAATTGGCGATATGACAGTATCCAAGAAGAAGATCAAGTAAAAGAAAACTGGAGGGATGAAAAGGTTCCACATGATTGGGATGAGCAAGAAGGAGAAGATCATGAATGGCATCCGGACGATCAACAAATTGCATCGGCAAATGAAGAAGAACACTATGCCACAGAGGGTTATCAAGCGGATCGAGAAGATTCGTCACGGCAGAACAGCGTCGAACGACCGGATGTCCATCAACCCACGGATATTGCCCAGTAAGTCCCTCTTCCTTTGCTTTTTTGAAGTCTTACTGGAATTCTGAATCTCTCCTCATCGAACTGTATGGTAAAGATAAAAATAAAGTGAAGTTGAGGTACATAAAATCATAAAAACGTTTTTTGTTGATATCGGTAGCAAATGATAATCAGCTGTTGTAATCAGTGATAATTAATGATAGTCAACCTTATATAATCTTTTTTTCGTCATCTTTTTTTTTGTCTTTTGTAACCTGATTGATAATTGGATGCCATAGGTTGGAAATGGTATGATATTACGGTATTTGACCTCCCTCCTCTCCCACTTGCCTTACCTCTTCGTTACGTGGGCAAGCACCAGAGCAAGGTTAGCAGATGATCCAATTGATTCCGCCTACATGTAGGAAAAGCCTTGTGCCTTAAGGAATCATTAATACTGAATATCTACTGGTAATGAGATTTCTACAGAATAATTCAATATTCAGTAGCATTTACTCAATTAGAAGGGCTTGTGCTTTCACATGAACAAGCGAAGTCGAGAAAAAAAGAAAATGAAATAAAAATGGAAATTTGGATTTTTCAATACTAATTGCACAATTCATTGTGATTCTGAACAGCTGTAGAGCCGAAGAATGAAGCTTAGAGATAGAAGAGACCCGACCTTCTCGGGGGGTTTTCTTTCGTGTGGCACCTATGCTCATCTATGTAGCCCAAATAGCGAATAGCAGTTTTAGATAGAATCGAGGTGTGCCGAAGCAGTTTTTGCCGGTAATTTGATCTAGGATCTCATTTTGTTTTTGTCTCAAAGTCATTTGAGGACCGATATAGGTGAATTATAGATGCAGTTGTAAAAATTGCAGATTTGTTGATTTTTATTCTACTTAAAAAAACTTGCAAGCTCAAAATTTTGTCAACTGGCAATCAGAAGATGCTTTAGAGTTTTTTGGGTAGAGCTATTTTCAGAGTTGGAATGAGTTTCTTGCAAGAAGGGCAATTCACCTTGCTGGGTCAAGTCAAGTTTGTAGTGCACTGGCCATACTCGATATGATCCTATACAAAAAAAGTTGATGGAAGGGAGGCCTGATAGGGATAGGATATACGATAGCAAGGACAGGAGATGAATCAGCGCTCAGTATTAATCCAGCTTCCTGTAAAGTACAAAATACAGATTGAAGCAGGTAATAGAAAATCGCTACTCACAAGGGAAGGATCCCTAGTCGAAGTGGCCATTTGAAATGGGACCTATACTGCTAGGCGTATTTTTTGATGCTGATTTCAAATCTGCATTCAAAATCTGCCAAACAATTCTCTGAACGAAGTTATGGAGGGTGGTCTTCGGAGAGCGCTCAACATTGGAAAGCACAATAGCCATGGTCGCCGGCAACCTAGCAGTGGCGGCTTGGAGTGGAGGTAAGTGTGACGCTTCACAGGCACGGGACCAAGGATCGGGTTTGATGGGCGGCGGCGTTCTCGCATGTTACAGGACTTTACCCTCCACGTTGTGAAAATCTTTCTATTTTAGT